TGTGTGTGTGTGGTGTGTGTGGTGTGTGTGTGTGGTTTGTGTGGTGTGTGTGTGTGGTGTGTGTGTGTGTGTGGTGTGTGTGGTGTGTGTGTGTGGTGTGTGTGGTATGAGTGTGTATGTGTGGTGTGTGTGGTGTGTGTGTGTGGTTTGTGTGTGTGTGGTGTGTGTGGTATGAGTGTGTATGTGTGGTGTGTGTGTGTGGTTTGTGTGTGTGTGGTGTGTGGTGTGTGTGATGTGTGTGTGTGTGTGCAGACGAAGGTTACCCCCCCCCCAGGCCATTGATTATCACCAGCAGGGTGTGGCCTCCCAGAGGGGGACGCTGAGCCTCCGAGCTCCACATTTTACTCCCTTTGGTCTGAATGTTTTATTTCCCATGAGGCCCACAGTCTTGTTTAAATAACTTTGGGGTGTCAGTGTGGCCACCCTGGTGTCCCCCAAAGCAGTCAGCCCTGAGTCAGATGAGGGTGCGCATCACACCTGACCCCGACCGCCAGCCCTGGCCCTCCCCGCTCTGCCTGGCTGGCTCCTTAGGAAGAGCTTTCGTATTTTATTTTGGCATTGTAAACGTTGGTGCTTTTTATTTAATTTTTATTTCTTCGTTATTAGAAGGAGATGTACAGAGCGGTTAGTTACACACGTCGTTCTGGGCAGGGTCACCCTTTCCCTCGCTCTCTCCCAGGTTTTCCCTCCTGTTCCCACCCACAGGTTGTGTAGTTCATTCTCAGCAGTGTCCATTGAGTAGCATTGCTGTATACTTCTGTCCCTCCATTTCTGTGCCCTTGACCCTTCCAAAGACAGATAAATGAACAGACAAGACACAAAGAAAACAAAAAGGAAAAAACCTTCTGCTTCCTTTTCCTGGAGTTACATTTTTTACATTTATGTGTTGACTGTTAGAAATTAGGATAACAATGCTTTATGGCCCCTGGCAGTTGGGGACACAGGCCGTGTAGTGGCTGAATGAAGCACTGTGAGGAGCAGCTGGGTTGGACTGGGAGCAGCTGGCCTGTGACCTGCTCGGAGGGCCTGCCCAGAGTCCAGGCAGACAGGACCTGGAAACCCAGCTGACAACACCCACGTTCTATCAGGTGCACGCAGGCCTGTTTTTAATTTCCTTGCAGAATTAAACTTTCGATCATTGAAATAATTAAAATTATTCGTTTTTCATCTTCCAATTCCTACCAGTTTTGGAAGTTTCAGTAGTTGTCTTAGAAAACTTTCAAGGTATTGTGAAATTACTGAACTCCAGTGTCAGTCCAGTCTTTATTTTTCTCTCTTGTCTTACTTGGCTAGTGTGCTATTTGGGGGTTTGAGTGTTTTTTAATCTGCAGAATGAGTTATTGTTTTCTAACTTGGCCCTGGTCTGCTGTCTCTTGGGTGGGCGTGTGTTGGGTGAGGCCGGGGGCAGTCGCGCCGTGCTGGTGGCCTCTGGTGGGTGCTGCATCACGAGAATTTCTCCCCATCGCCTCAGGCCGGCGGTCAGACTGCCCTCCCGTTATTTTCCTCAGTAACGACCGGGGTGCAGGTGTGACATCAGTGTTGGACCCCCGCTGCAGTTTTCAATCGGGCCCCTTGTGGGGGGCTTCTGAGCTTATCTCCTCTGGGTCCTAAGGCTCCTTCAAGTCAAAATCAAAGACTGGATTCTTCAGAGTTGACTTTGGCTGTGTTCCTCTCTGAGTAACTTGGCTTCAGAGAATCTAGCCTGTCGGTCTGGTAAAAATGATGACACTAAATGAAATGTTGCGTCTGTATTTTTTTTTGGGGTCCGGTTGTGGGGCCTGAACTCTGGGCCTGGGCACTGTCCCTCAGCTCTTCAGCTCACGGCTGGCACTCTACCACTTGAGCCACAGCGCCATTTCCGGCTTTTTTCTTTTTGCTTATGTGGTGCTGAGGAATCGAACCCAGGGCCTCAGGCATGCAAGGCAAGTGCTCTACCACTGAGCCAACTTCCCAGCCCCTCTCTGCTTACTTTTGGCGCACACTTCTCACAGGCTGCTGTCTGTGTGGTCTTAGTATGTGAATCGTATTTACTGTCTACATGTTCCTTTCCTTTAAAAATGGAGTGAAAATTTAGGAATGCACGGAATTAAATTATGTTTGCTCTGCTCAGTTTGGAGGAATGCGAAGTGAAAGTAACCTGAGTACAGAAAATAACCCTCCGAACTTGTGAAGCCAGAGGAGTAATTGGGAATTTCTGTTTGTGACAGCCCGGCTGGCTTTTGTAATCCAGCCTCAGAACACAGAGGTGCTGGTGGGCGAGAGTGTCACCCTGGAATGTAGTGCCACCGGCCACCCTCAGCCGCAGATCACCTGGACCAGGGGTGACCGGTCCGCGTTGCCGGCCGACCCGCGGGTGAACATCACCTCCTCCGGCGGCCTGTACATACAGAAGGTCGCACAGGACGACAGCGGGGAGTACACCTGCTTTGCCTCCAACGGGGCTGAGAGCATCCACGCCACAGCCCTCATCATCGTGCAGGGTGAGTCCCAGCATGGGCGGCCCGACGCCAGGCTGGCCCCGTGTCCCGAGTCCACTCCCGGGTCTCCTTCCTGATAGCTGATGACGCACGCTCTGCTCAACTTTGTCTGGAAGATGAGCCTGGCGCTGGGCGATGGAGTCCAGATCACTAGGCTCCTAGCGTGCGTGAGAGTCTGCACATATATCCCTGAGTTGACAGCCATTGTGCCTGAGCAGAGCTGGGAATGCACCCTGAGGTTGTGGTGGTTGTGTGTCAGGGTGTACATGATGGAGACGGCTGTGAGTGCAGTCTAAGGTCATGGTGGTTGTCTATCAGGGTGTACATGATGGAGACGGCTGTGAGTGTATCCTGAGGTTGTGTGTCAGGGTGTACATGATGGAGACGGCTGTGAGTGCACCCTGAGGTCGTGGTGGTTGTGTATCAGGGTGTACATGATGGAGACGGCTGTGAGTGCGCCCTGAGGTTGTGGTGGTTGTGTGTCAGGGTGTACATGATGGAGACGGCTGTGAGTGCGCCCTGAGGTCTTGGGGTGGGAACTGATATGCATCGTGCCCGCAGCTCTGAGTGAGTTCTTGGGTGAGTTTTGGACCCAGAGTTCTGACAGGTTTTATTTTTGTGATAGGTTTTATTTTTAAATCTTTGCGGTGTCTTTCCGTATTGCTTAGTGTACCTTTCGGTGACTCTAGGATAGTTTCTCATTGAGCCGTGTGTTTAGTCTGTCCGGCCATGCAGAGTAGAGCGTCAGTGCAGGAGGCCTCCCCTTCCCACACAGCCGCTGGAGGGCGTCTGTCTGCACACACTTTTCTTCTCACCAGCCATGTAGCCACGCAGTGAGCGTTCCTAATTGTACTTGTTGCGTTTACCCAGATGGCCTCCTGGCTGGCCTCTTGTGTTGCTTGTGCAGTAGTGATGACATCTGTCCCTGTAGACACCAGCTGACATGTTGATACTCGCACCTGTTACTGGGGATGGGGTGGTGTCCGCCTATGTTACCTCTACCACAGTCTCGGTCCATTGCCTCCAGCTGTGCACGTGGGCGTCTGCGTGGTGACAGGGAAACACCATTCTTGGCATATTTTCAGCCCCCTTCCCCCTTTTCTTTCTGAGTTGCTTATAGGTGTCAAGCACTCGTGGGGCATTTTTACCTAATGCTGTTCCTAAATGGAATGTTTTCACACAGCGCTTCCTCGGTTTACTGTGACGCCAGAGAACAGGGTGGTGACGGAGGGTCAGACCGTGGACTTCCAGTGTGAGGCGAAGGGTCACCCCCAGCCCGTCATCGCCTGGACCAAAGGCGGTAAGCTGCGGACTCGGGCCGTGCTGGCTCCTTCACTGCGGCTCCTACGGGATTCAAACAAGGAACAGACCGACCTTCCACCGAGTGCCTGCGGCGTCCACCCCTTCAGAGGCCGTAGGAACACTCACAGATGAGGGCCAAATGCTGCGTGGGGCACTGGCTTCCAGGAGGGAGCAGCCCGGCTTGGCTCCAGCCCCAGCTCCGCTCCAGCCCAGCTCAGCTCCAGCCCAGCTCAGCTCCAGCTCAGCTCCAGCCCAGCTCAGCTCCAGCTCAGTTCCAGCCCAGCTCAGGTCCAGCTCAGCTCCAGCTCAGCTCCAGCCCAGCTCAGCTCAGGTCCAGCCCAGTTCAGGTCCAGCCCAGCTCAGCTCCAGCCCAGCTCAGCTCCAGCTCAGCTCCAGCTCAGCTCCAGCTCAGCTCCAGCCCAGTTCAGGTCCAGCCCCAGCTCAGCCCAGCCCAGCTCAGGTCCAGCCCAGCTCAGGTCCAGCCCCAGCTCAGCTCCAGCCCAGCTCAGGTCCAGCCCCAGCTCAGCTCCAGCCCAGCTCAGGTCCAGCCCCAGCTCAGCTCCAGCTCAGGTCCAGCCCAGCTCAGCTCCAGCCCAGCTTAGCTCCAGCGCAGCTCAGCTCCAGCCCCAGCTCAGCTCCAGCTCCAGCCCCAGCTCAGCTCCAGCCCCAGCTCAGCTCCAGCCCAGCTCAGGTCTAGCCCAGCTCAGGTCCAGCCCCAGCTCAGCTCCAGCCCAGCTCAGGTCCAGCCCCAGCTCAGCTCCAGCTCAGGTCCAGCCCAGCTTAGCTCCAGCCCAGCTCAGCTCCAGCCCCAACCCCAACCCCAGCTCAGCTCCAGCCCCAGCTCAGCTCCAGCCCCAGCTCACCTCCAGCCCCAGCTCACCTCCAGCCCCAGCTCAGGTCCAGCCCAGCTCAGCTCCAGCCCTAGCCCCAGCTCAGCTCCAGCCCAGCTCAGGTCCAGCCCCAGCTCAGCCCAGCCCAGCTCAGGTCCAGCCCCAGCGCAGGTCCAGCCCAGCTCAGGTCCAACCCAGCTCAGGTCCAGCCCAGCTCAGCTCCAGCTCAGCTCCAGCTCAGCTCCAGCCCAGCTCAGCTCCAGCCCAGCTCAGCTCCAGCTCCAGCTCAGCTCCAGCCCCAGCTCAGCTCCAGCCACAGCTCAGGTCCAGCCAAGCTCAGCTCCAGCCCCAGCTCCGGTCGAGCCCCAGCTCAGGTCCAACCCAGCTCAGGTCCAACCCCAGCTCAGCTCCAGCCCCAGCTCAGCTCCAGCCCCAACCCCAGCTCAGCTCCAGCCCCAGCTCAGCTCCAGCCCCAGCTCAGCTCCAGCCCAGCTCAGGTCCAGCCCAGCTCAGGTCCAGCTCCAGCTTAGGTCCAGCCCCAGCTCAGGTCCAGCCCAGCTCAGCTCCAATCCCAGCTCAGCTCCAGCCCAGCTCAGCTCCAGCCCAGCTCAGGTCCAGCCAAGCTCAGGTCCAGCCCCAGCTCCGGTCGAGCCCCAGCTCAGGTCCAGCCCCAGCTCAGGTCCAGCCCAGCTCAGCTCCAACCCCAGCTCAGCTCCAGCCCCAGCTCAGCTCCAGCCCCAGCTCAGCTCCAGCGCAGCTCAGGTCCAGCCAAGCTCAGCTCCAGCCCCAGCTCAGCTCCAGCCCAGCTCCGGTCCAGCCCCAGCTCAGCTCCAGCCCAGCTCCGGTCCAGCCCCAGCTCAGCTCCAGCCCAGCTCAGGTCCAGCCCCAGCTTGCCCCCAGCCCCTTGGAAGCTGCAGTGCCTACGTCTTCCTGGCCTTCCTCAGCTTTGTGTCTGTTGTCTCCCTTTGGGAGTCACTGGGCACAGGGTTCACCCCTCCCACGTCAGCTGATGGGGAATCTTCATGGCCCCTTAGGGGCATCCGTTGGGGTGGCCGAGGAGCGGTCATTGGTTGGCATCCTGATCGCACAGCTCAGGCTGTAGGGTTCCTCCACCCTTGGAAGTAGTATGGTCCCTGGATGCCAGCGCCCTTCTCTCCAGCCCCACGGTGCCTGTGTCTGGTTTAAAGGTGTCCCTGTTGCGCACAGGTGGCCCTGTTTCATGTGTCCCGTGTCCCCTAGGGAGCCCGCTCTCGGTGGACAGACGGCATCTGGTGCTGTCCTCCGGCACGCTCAGGATCTCTGGGGTCGCCCCCCACGACCAGGGCCAGTACGAGTGCCAGGCGGTCAACATCATCGGCTCTCAGAAGGTCGTGGCCCAACTGCTTGTGCAGCCCAGAGGTAGGCGCTGGCTCGGGTTGCTCAGGTCTGGTGTCCTGCTGGGACGGCACGCCAGCGATGGAGTGTCACGTGTTGCAGCGTTTGTCATGTCTGCACTTGTATTCCCAAGGGGTCTCCAGGTGCTTGTCAGCGCTTTACTTGTGTTTATCCTGTGACGGAGACACACACAGCCCCTGGAGGCCGGCTTGTTAATCAGGCCCGTCGCTTTTCTCCTGGTAACTGAGGCTCACTTGAGCAAAGGGTGCTGCCAATGCGTTCCCAGTGGCCCCATAGGTCGGCTGCTCAGCACAGCGGTGTGCGCCTCCTGTGGGCCTTTGCGGCCGAGCCTCTCTGAGTCTCCCCTGCCTGAGCCCCCGTCCCCCGGGAAGTTAGGGTGTCCTGGCCGGCAGGCCCTGAGTGTGGTGCTGGAGGCGTGGAGACAGGCCGGGAGCGGCGGGCACAGCCGCGGGTGGGTGGGCCCTTGGAACCCCAGGCGAGCTCCGTGTCCCTGTCCTCCCTCATCTGGGATGTAACCTGCCCCAGGAGCGATTCCTGAAGGGGCCTGAGGCCCCCTGCTCCCTGGAGCTGTGTCCCCTTGACGACTGGCCACGGCTGGCCATCCTGCTGCCGCTGCCGGCCCCCAGGCTCCTGCAGACCCCAGCAGAATGCGCCTCAGCCTTGTCCCGTGACACTGCTGGACAGGAGGGGCTCCGAGGCTGGCAGAGGGCAGCAGGCCACCCCGTGTCCTTGTGGCCTGCCGGGAGGCAGAAAAGCCCCTTCTGCTCTATGAGCTTTTGGGGGTGTCACTAGCGGCACTGATAACTGTCTTGCCTTCCAGTCACCCCGGTGTTTGCCAGCATTCCCAGGGACATGACTGTCGAAGTGGGCAGCAATGTCCAGCTCCCGTGCAGCTCCCAAGGGGAGCCTGAGCCGGTCATTACCTGGAACAAGGTAAGGAGGTGCCACCTCTGCTACACACACGCGCGTGCTCACCACCCCCTCCCCTCCACACACGCGTGCTCACCACCCCTCCCCTCCACACACACACGTGCTCACCACCCCCTCCCCTCCACACAC